ATATGTTCAATTGCCTACTCAATATTTCTACTAGGATTTTTAATTAAGTATCTCAAACTTAACATGTCCAAAACAGAAGCCTGATTTCTGCTGCCCAATCTTTCTCACCTAAGTAATAACTACCCTTAGAATTGATCAAGTCAAAAACTTGGAGTTCATCTTGACTCCTCACTTTCTTTTATATTCTACTTTGAATTCACTAGTAAACCCCGTTGGCTTTAACTTCAGAATATATCCTGGATCTGATTATTTCTCATCATTTCCACTGCTACTACTCTGGTCCAAATCTCTTGCTGGACATTACATATCTTTCTAACTACTCTCCCTGCTTTTTCCTTTTTCTCTCCATATATATATATGCCATGCCAAACTGAAGCCAGAGTAAACATTTTTAAAAATTTAAGACATGTTATGTTTCATGTTATGCTTCCCTTCCTCAAACCTGACTATTTAGAATAAAATGGTCTTGTTTCTGTTGTCTCCCTAACCACACATCCTTTAACTTTGCTCCTTTCCCTCTATACTTCAGTTATAAACATGACAAGCATACCCCTTATCTCAGGATTTTTCTGTCTCTGTTGTTCCCTCTGCTTGGAACTCAGTTCCCCTTACATGGCACCACCCTCAATACCTTCAGACTTCCACTCTAATTTTATCTCTTCAGTGAGGCCTGATTACCCTTACATAAAATACTCTATCAGTCAGATCTGGAAAGGAAAACCAAATCCTCTAGGTATTTCAAATGAAGGGGAGTGGAAAAAAAGGATTGAATACAGGGAATTTGTTTCAAATGTTTTAGGAGGGCTGGAAAAACAAAAGGAAAAAGGTGTGTCTCCATAGATCAGTAACTACAGGAAGTCACCACTGTCCCTAAAGCTGCTGGGAGAAAGTGATGTTTACTGAGGATTGAAGAGCTTATACTACAGCTAACTTCTTCTTCTAAAATATTTTATTTATTTATTTGACAGAGGGAGAGATACAGTGAGAGAGGGAACACAAGCAGAGGGAGTGGGAGAGGGAGAGGGAGAAGCAGGCTTCCTGCTGAGCAGGGACCCTGATGCAGGGCTGGACCCCAGGACCCCAGGATCATGACCTGAGCCGAAGGCAGATGCTTAACGACTAAGCCACCCAGGTGCTCTTACTTCTAATTTATTTCCAACTTCTAATATTGTGTTAATGCATCCCAATGACAAAGCCTAACAGGACCACAGCTGGAAAGAGTCCAGGAAATTGGGTTTTCAGCCTTCTGGCTTTATTGTAAAGAGGAGAATATGAAAGGGGTGATGTAGGGTAGGTTTCAACAGGTAGTATTTGGCATATACCTCTTCTACTACTAGTCTTTATCATCTTATCCTTAATTTTTCTTCATACCACTTACGGGTATTTTTTGTTCACTATCTCCCCTATCCTGCCTCCATTAGAATATAAATTCTGTAGGAACAGGGAATTTGTTTGTCTTGTTTACTGCTGTATCCTGAGCAGTCAGAACAGTGCCTGGCATCAGTATGGTAGCATACTAAATGGGGAAGGGTGGTGGAAATGGTTTGCCCTGCAGAGCATATTTTATCACTGACTTTGCTTAGAATAGCCAGTGCATGGTGATGATAAAAAGCAGAATGACTTATAGTAAGTTTTACTATTATTTTTTAATTTTCTACACACAGTGGATCCTCTTATGTGAGGGTAAAGGGTTACAAAACCCTTTTCCATCTCTAAGGACAAATTTGAGCTTCGGTTCACTTTCTAGCTCTGTTCCCCGGAAATTTGATAAAGACGAAATGTCAGCTTGTTATTAGGCAGCATTTCCCATGGCAAAAATAATCTCTTATTGGTAACTTGCATATGGACTAGAAGGTACTATAAATGAACTATAGGGGCACCTGGGTGGCTCAGTCATTAAGCGTCTGCCTTTGGCTCAGGTCATGATCCTGGGATTCTGGGATCCAGCCCCAGATCCAGCAGGGTCCCTGCTCAGTGGGAAGCCTGCTTCTCTCTCTCCCACTCCCTCTGCTTCTGTTCCCTCTCTTGCTCTCTCTCTGTCAAATAACTAACTAACTAACTAACTAAGTAACTAAATAAAATCTTAAAAATAAATACATGAACTATGACTACCTAGTGGGAAGCCATATCTTTGGACTTTTGTCAATGTGGTGACACTTGTATCTGCACATTTCCCTTGTAGGGACCCTGGAAGCTGCCTAAGACTGTTAGAAGAAATATTGATTCTTATGTAGGACATGATTCTAAGATGATGGTTCCCCTAGTCTCCTAGTATAATTCTTGTTCCCTTGCACGTGAATGTCACTTGAAGAAAAAAGAAAATAACTCTTGGATGGCTGTGTAGACGATTAAGAGGATTAGTTCCACTGAAGATGAAAGTCTGATGCAGCCTTTCTGGACACTGAATTTCCAGTTCAAAACCCTTCTAAATAAACTGGTTCATGATAGAGTGTATTCACATCTTATAAAACTGATTTTAGTTAAGATAACCCCTCATGGACATTCCAGCATGTAATAGATGCTTAATAAATATTTATTGAACAAATGCATGAGGTTGGAAATGTATGCCACAATTATGTAATTATTGGATGGTATTACCTAAATGTTAACATACACAGTTTGTTGAAAGAAACAAATGTCTGCATTGACTATTCTGCATTAGTTATAGTTCACAACTGTACCTCCCAATTTTGAAATAATTCCCCCATCCCAAATAAACACATGTATTCACAAAATACTGGGCAGGTTTTAAAGACAGTATACACAGATATCTTGTATGGCATTCTTTGGGTTGCCTCAGGCCACTGTTCTGCTTATTGACATACCACGCTGGATTCAAAAGTGGACATATATAAAGCCACTCATACCAGGGGAAATCAGTTAGTACTTAAGGGGAGCTTGTGCTGTGACCAACTAAATTATAGACTTGCCACATTAACAGACAAGTGTTAATTTCTTTTGGCCTCTCTGAAAAGAAATAAATTTTCCCCATTATTTTCTATCAAAGATCTCAAGCCTTCAAAAGAGATACTATACTTCATTCATTTCTTTTATTCCCAGTTTCCAGTATAATTCCTGGCATAGAGATACCTAATAAACATTGGTTGACCTAAACTATATAATCAGAGAGTCATAATAACAGCTAATCTTGGATGGAACTAGGGAATGAGTGCTGAGCTATATGGAACCAGAGATTATGGATTTAGAAACATTATTTTAGATTGTGGATTTAGAGATTTAGAAACATTATTCCCTTGGAAAACCATGGTAAATATAGTAGGCCACAGAAAATAGCATCTGTGAAAGCCCATCCAAGGATAATCAAGCCTATGGAGGCAGGGAACTGGGACTACGAATTCTTCCTTAGATTCCATGATGTAAGTATCATCTCTAATCTTATCCCATCACTCTTCTTTACCACTAGCCAAAAGTTTTCATACAGAATGTATGATAGCTTTAAAAATATTACCAATGTAGTCTGGAGGATAAGTGAGACTATGGTCCAGCCTTACAAAAACATTAGGAAGAATACAAGAAATACAGCTTAAACAAAGTTGCCAAATAACTAGTTAGTTTTTCATGAATTTGCTCATTCTCTTTAGCTTTCGCAAACCCCCCATGAACTCACTTAAATGCACAAAGCATACAAATAAATCACAAATAAGAACAGTTCATTAAGTCAACCAGTTTATCAGATATTTCTTTCTGATGCCAAACATAATGTCAGTTGGCCCTAGGGATATTAAAATCTTCACTATGTAGATCGATTGAAAATAATGTTTTGGGTCAGTCAATAGTTTTAGAGAATGACCAGTGCACCCATACTAAGTCTAGAATACTGATTGATCTCTCCATTAGCAAAACAAATATTCTCTTCTTTTCTTTTGCTCTTTCTATTTTTTAAAATTTAATTTAATTTTTCCAAGATTCATTGTTTATGCACCATACCCAGTGCTCCATGAAATATGAGCCCTCCTTTATATCCACCACCACGCTCACCCCTCCCCCACCCTCTCCCCTCCAAAACCGTCAATTTGTTTCTCAGGATCCACAGCCTCTCATGCTTCTTCTCCCCTTCCGATTTACCCCAATTTTTTTGCCCTTTCTAAAAGAGCTATAAGGATAACAGAGACCTTTGAAAATGTTCATTTCCAAGACTTTAAGAAATTAAAAATAATGATAACAAATAAATGGTTTCAGAATAAAATTAGAGATTAAAAGAGAAAAAAAAAAAGAAATCCTGTTTATCTTTTTAAAAATAGTAAGGTCTAAAGGCCTAAAAAAAAAAAATCTCAATAGTTTCTGATTCTGCTCTTAGGCTTTGAATTACCAGCAGATCCATTTTTCAATATTCCCAGTCCGATTAGAACATCTGATTTCTTGTATAAGCAAAACATGGAACAGGAATTTTTCAAATTCAAATTGACTAACTCCCCATCCTAAATCAGGGTTGAAATGACATTTGACATATTGAGAAACATGCCACCAGAGATGCCATCCTTGTAGAAAAAGAGAAAAGATTATCAAATTCTTCCTGGTGACTAAGGATCACAAGGAACTTCCAGCAAGCTGAAGGGCTAACCATTGTGTCCCAATTCACTGATCCACACAGAGGCGGCCCATCATCTCAGCAGCAGGGTAGGTAGAATGCATTGTCCTAATAGACTGAGCACTCAATTTGCATAGTTGAAATCTATAGTTAGCAGTCAACATTCTTTGTTTATATGTACTGAGTGTGTGTAAAGATCATTGGTTATAATATTTTGTTCTAATAAATGGAAGGGAAGATTTCTTAATATGTAATTTCTAGTCTTCCTCCTTCTTATCTTCTGTACTTGAACTATCCTGAGGCCAGTATATTTATTTCCCTGTTACATGTATGTGGTAAAAATCTGTAATCCACAATGTTCTATTTATGACACAGAACAGAAGTCAAAAAGACTTTTTACCTGAAAGTTGAATTAGCAACTTACCCCCCCCTCCCACTTTTTTTTTCTTACCTCATTCCCTGTTGACATGACTGCAACAACTGGAAACTTATTAACTTCAACCTCTGTGACACCTACAGTTGCCAGAAGACCAATCTCTGAGGGGCCCATATGGGTTCCTTTGGCCAAAACGCACTCCCCTCTTTTAATGTCATGGCCAATGGGTCTGAAAGTCAAAGCAGAACCATAAGCAGTATGATAAGAATAATATCTTCTCAACTGACGTTAGTGTCAAAGAAGGAGGACACTTAAGAGGAGAAAAGAGTCAAGAGATGAGGCAGGAACAGAATAATAAAATAAAAAGCTTCTAAAAATTCTTTGCTGTTTTAATAAAAAATTTAAATCACAAAATAAAAGAAATAAGATTTCCATTTTTGCTAAGGAATATGTTATTTCACATTTGAAAACTATTTTACAAATTGCTTTATATTAAATTACAGTAAAAAATACCATATACAAACTTTCTTTGATATAAGGCAAGAATTTATATGAATATATCTAGTGGCATTAATGATAAGAGGCCCATAGCATGTTAGCTTTGGGGTGAGGAGAATAACACTAATGAGGTTACAGTCACAGGGATAATTTCTATTTGGACAATTTAGGCTGGCCCAGGTCTATGGCCACAGAGGTATACTCAGCTTGGCTTCTTGCCATAGGGATGTGAGAATTGTAGTTTTGTTATAAGGACATTTGAGCAAATGTAGTAATGATGGGATTAGGGCAAACACATTCCAATGTAAGAAAAATAATTTAAAGTTTATGCACTACTTATGGTAAGACAGTAGTCTCATTTTTGTATATAAGGAATAGCAGGTTATTCTACTACTATTGGTAGTCAGTAGAGGAGGGGCTATCAGCTAATTGCATAAAAACTCAAATCTGGGATTATCTGTGTTGATGCCAAATTCTGGATTATCTAGGGGTGTGGCTAGATTTCTGGATTATCTAGAAGCAGGATTAATTGCGGATTAAGTAGGATCATGACTTTACTCCTTCTTATGTTGCTTTTGACTATTTTATTTACCTTTACTATGTTTACAAAAAAGTAGGCAGAGTAGACATGAAATGTAGAATTAAGAAAATTCATTTTGCTACTTGTTAAATGTCCTGAACACTAATGGCTAAATGACTGAGCTGTGGGTTTACAACAGCCATGCTCTCCTGAGTTCATGATCATGTAGAAACAAAAGTTGGCTATACATTCTATACATTATGAATTTACCTGATATCTTGGCCTGGTCGAGCCTGCACCAGAATTCGTACTTCAAGTTCCTCGGTGCCCTATAATAAGAGCAAGTCATGTAATTTCGAACAGAATAATCTAACAGAATTTCTGATCAATACAATTTAGCTACTCAGATGCATTTATCATCAGATAGGTACAGAATATATATACAAATATAGAGAAACAGAACCATTTGCTACACATTTTGAACATGATAAATTTCTACCACAGGTACCTGAAAAACTAGGTTTGATGCCAATACATTCATTTATAAATAAATAAAACTTTTTTCATAATTTTCATGTTTTTAAAAATGTACCAATTCAAATACCAGATCTTACATTGTAAGATAGCATTCTCAAGGGAAAACAAAAGATCTATCCATATGGCTACCCTAACAGATACATCAAATGTGGATGGAGATAACCTGTCTCTTCTGTTCCCATGAATCATGCCAAGTTTCCCAAATATCTGCAGAAATTTCAGTGAAGGACTTACAGTTTTCCTGGTAGTAGATTTCTGTAAATTAATGGTGATCATTAATTTTACATTTATGGGCTGTGAATAATATTGTGACACTGGAACTGTGTCTTATCATCTGGCAGAGTCGGTGGATGCATGTGTTCTGGATTTCAATGCTTTGCTGGCTTTCCTAATGCCAATAAATCTGTTGGACAGTTTTAACAGCAGGCAGTGTGATATGTATGCCAAGATTTGAATTTTATAAGTCTTACATGTGGGAAAGTAATTAAAAAGAAAATCCCAGATCAAGAAAAGTGGCTGTCTCTCAGCATGCCAAATTTTACTATATAGCCAGCCAGCCCAGAAGAATATTGGTTATTTTAGCTTCGGCTTTTAAGATACAAAATATCTTAAACTACTTTAAAAAAACAAGTTAAGATAGCTAATCATTAAAATGTCAGTTGAAACTATTCTTTTATTGGTGGCTGACCCTCTGGTTCCAATAATTGCCACGAGTTTCAGTGAGATGAAGGCCCACTGAGACCAAGAAAATTCCCAGGATCCTTTTTGTAGGCTATAGAGGGGGCACCGACATAAATTTAATTTTTCCAGGGTGTCATTTGCTGGCAAAGATTTTTATGAATTATAGAAAACCAGAGTTGAAGGGCTATTTGGTTCAAATGCTTGGCTTAGTGTAATATTTAAGAACTTGCTCAAGTTTCTTTGTTAATTTCTTCTCTGTTAAATTCTCTTTCACATTTTATCAGAAGCTAGTCTTGAATAAATTTCTCAGCTATAAGGTATGTCAACAGTTATTATCTCTGCTGTTCTATTTAAGGTAGTTTCCTTCCTTGTTTGCATGTGAAATTTTGTGGGTCAACTGTGGTTCAAATTCTATTATAATTACAGTAATGATCATAAAAATATCTCCTGTAAAAAAAGATTTTCAAATATAAGGCAATTCCTATTTACTGAAGACCCATACACTACAATGTAAGATCCTAACATTACCAAACAAACAAAAAAATAAAACCCAAAAGCCCAACTGGATTAATCTTATAAACACTGCAGAAAATGGGCATAGTTTATAACCCGGCCATAGGAACAGAGCAGTAAAACCTGGTGATGACATACATCATCGGATTCCCTGATTAGTTCAGTATCTTCTACTTGTACTACTGCATCAGCACCGCAGGGGATTGGAGCACCTGTTGTAACCCGCATGACTTGTCCTGGCATTACTGTCTGAGTCGGCTGAAAATACAAGCATGTAAAAAAGAATTAATTTACTCTGCTGTGGCAAAGGAAAAGTCTGCAGGAGATTTAATATTTTTAGAAACAAACCATAAAAGGAAAATCTTTTATTCATTTTGGTCCAATGTAATAAAAACTACTCACAGACAGTTGTATTTACACCAAAGAGGCTTTTTTTTTTTTTAAGATTTTATTTATTTATTTGACAGAGAGAGAGATCACAAGTAGGCAGAGAGGCAGGCAGAGAGAGAGGGGGAAGCAGGCTCCCTGCTGAGCAGAGAGCCCGATGCGGGGCTCGATCCCAGGATCCTGGGATCATGACCTGAGCCAAAGGCAGAGGCTTTAACCCACTGAGCCACCCAGGCGCCCCTATACCAAAGAGGCTTTAACTCGATTTAAGGTAATGACCAGATGTCTTTCTTGGTCCCCTGTTTTCCTTTTGAAGAACTGTCACAATTGTCACTATTGTGTCTCACTCAAATAATGTGAATTTTCTTAATACTTGTATGTAAAGTGATTTGCGTGTCTTTAAGAAAAAAAAATGCCATCCAATGTGATTTTATGAAAGACAATTATGAAAAACTAGCACATTGGTCATTTACTTAAGTTTTGATGTTAGAGAAATGTAGTACTTTATTAACTAAACTTTTTTATTTAATAAAGGCAAGTCAGAAAAATAATTTTAATTATTTCACTTGAAAATCTTTCCAAAACATATTAGTTCACCTTTCAATAATTAAAGTCTAGAAAATGCAATGAAGTAATTAAAAAATGATTCCAGTGTCTGTAATGATTTCTGCTAAACATTATATCCAGATTTTCATTATCTGAGCTCTCATACAGATGGTACAGGAGACTGACCCCAGGCCCTGCCTTGCAAACTTCTCTCAGCATAGAGAAAAGCATATTTCTGTAAGACCTGTTTGATAGGTTTGATTTGGCCTCATAGGCCAATGATTTAGGTAAGAGTTGGGAAAAGGAATGTTTCAAATTTCTCCTAAAAGAGAATTCTGAGAGAATATTAATTTCCCAATTAAAAAAAGAGATCTTTCCAAAGATATCTTCTTAAGTATTTAAAAATCTTAGGTCACAACAATGTGAATATATTAACATTACTAAACTGTACATTAGAAATGGTTATGATTTATTTTATATTATTTTTTATTTTATTTTATATATATTTTATTTTTATATATCTATTTTATATATTTTCTACCACATTAAAAAAATTTAGGGAATGGTTAAGGAAAAATACCCCTCTATTAGAAGTACAAAGCAAAACAGGAAATTTATTTATCAGGGCAGCCTTAAAAATCTTTTTTCAATAACATTACTGCAAATAATATTACCAATAGCTAAAATTATCAAACCCTTCAATTTATACTAGGTACAGTGCTAAGTGTATTGTTACATTCTAGAATACAAGCCCTTACAAAGACCAGGATTTGTTTTTTTGTTTGCCTCTCCAGATAACATCTTCATTTTCTATTCTGTGCTGTGACCCAGAAGGCTGATCTCTATGGACTATTTCATCTAGGTTCCCGTTACTCTGGCTTCTGATTAGGTTCAGCTAATGGGAATGGTCAACAAGAGATTAGAGGTAAGAGAAAGGGAAAGGTAGGGTTTTATTCCACTTGCTCTTTCTCTGCTGGGCTGCGGTGTGGTGATGGCTATGTCATCTTTATTACTGAGGGCCACAGCTCCTATTGGGTGGTGCTGTCTCATAGCTATGAATCTCCCCAGGTCCAGGTAACACTCTTTACCTTTGTCCCATTAGACCTAGAGATAGCTGGTAGTGGAGAGTCATTGTTAGCACCTGGGTGCTAAACATTCCTTAGCTGGTTTCCCTTAACCCTATTTTTTGGGTATAGTCCCCTTAATCACCCCTTTCCAGAAATATTTATCACTTTATCATACCAAAGCTTAGAATGTGTCTAGCACAAAGTTGGTGATGAATAACTATTTCTAGAATGAATGCATGAACATGTATGACCTCAGTAGCTCACAACTACACGAAGTAATCCATCTTTCTTGGCTTAAAACTCCAGTGTTCTCCCTGCTTTTCTCCCATAGTTATTGGCAAAAGAAATTCTTGGGATCAGCTCTTGCATTGAGCTATGGATCTTATATTTCCTTATTCTGCTATTTGAATAAAAGATATTCAGGGTTTGGAATGGTTACATTTTTATGTAATTTTTCTACCAAGATGCTGCATAGGATTTCATATGAGAAGTTTAGAGCCCAATGCATTAAAAAAAAAAATTCAACTTAGATATTACTCATTGTCTGGGACATCCCTTAATCTACTGTACAGGGTCTTTTGCAGTGCAGTGATTTTTGATGAAAAGCGTTCGTTTAGATATAGATATCTATATCTATCTATATCTATATCTATCTATATCTATATCTATATATTTATTAGAGGTATTAATGCTAAAACTATCTTCAGAGCCTATGCAACAAAGATATTTGATATAGGCCTAAACAGGTCCTTCTTTTGCTGAAAGTGCCTTTTTGGCTAAGGCAGAAATTGAATCCTAAAGTGAGTTTCAGGGCAGCTGCTTCTTAAGCTGAAGTGTGTTAGTTTGGAGCCCTGCCTCAATTTAGTCAGGTTCAATGGATACGTTGTAAATTTACTCTAAGTTTTATTGTGGTTGTACCTGTAATTTTCTCTACTTCTTGGTTTAAACTAACTCTTATGAAGTGTTTTTGTGTAATTATTAAATAAAAAATGTGGCTCCTCTCTAAGATTAGTAAATCTAAGTGATAGGTGAAGACTTCCTACCAGCTCACTTATATGAGATCCAATGTAAAAGATATTATTGGATATATAAAAATATTTATAAACCTCAATTGAATGGAATCAGATGAAAAACTCTAGGAATATGTGAAGTAATTCCTTTAGATTATTAAGAGTAACAATTCTTTAAGAGTAACTCATTTTTAAAAATTTCTATTGATATTCCTTATAAGTTTTATATAAACTAAAATGGTTAAAATCTTGATTTTTCCTTAACAGAGGTGTTGAGGTTTTTTTTTTGAGATTTGCCCAGTGACAGCACTTTATAATCACTTAATATTTTCTTTGACAGTGTCCAATGCTAATCAATAGGACCAAAGTATAAATGATTTAAAGTCAAGTATTTGGTACACTAAGAAAGTATTTTGTATATCACTGTCTCAGTGTATGCAATGGCACCTAATTCTCAAGCATATGTACTTCCAATAAATGAGCAATCTGGCTAATGTAAGATCTCTGTGATTGCTATAAAGTCTGTATGATACCTTAGTTATAAAGGACATCACAGATAAATCAAGGAGAAACCCCATTTTCTTGTATAGTTTTCATCTTTTTTCCCCATAGACCTTACAAGAAATTAGCAACTTTTAAGTTTCATGACTTTTTTTGTGTTCCTAGTTCTCTAGTACAGTCAGAAATCTTAACTAGTAAATAAGGTTTAAGAAGACAACAAGGCACTTATTAATCTGTTACCTATCTATCTATCTATTTATACTAGGCTTTGACTACCATGAACTATTGGCAGTTCCCTAAACATTCTATGCAATTTTTAAAAATACCTGTGTCTTGATTTATACTGTTCTCTTGGCCTAGAATGTCGTTTTCTCATTTCTGTTTTTGTAAAATCCTCTCAGGTCCAGCTTCAATGGTATTTTCTTAATCCTCCTAGGATGAAATGCTCAACCTCCCTATTGTCTTCCACAGTACATGACTGATAGCATTAGTTTAACATTTAATATATTATACTTAGTTGTTATATTCTGTCACCTCCACTAGATGTAAACTCCTTAAGAGTAGAAATCATATCTTAATCTACTTTATACCCCTAGAACCCAACACAGTGCTTGGTACACACAGTAGGTATGTTTGATAACTGTTAGATAGACTCAACTGAAGATCAGAGACCTGAATAATTGGTACTTTGTAGCTTTGTAATACAAATGGATGCTTTAACATCCAACACTAAGTGAAGTATATATTGAGAAGTTGAGTAAATTATGAGGTCATAATACAAGACATTTATAAAAAAGGGACCTAGGCCTAGCTGTTCTTTTTGTCATGAGGATTAAAACCAGCCTGTGTACAACATCTAATCACTATAGTGCCAGGTTTGGCTTCAGAGATCTATACACAGACCTCTTCGATGCTTGGATGTAGGGATGAGGTAGCTGGGGTCACCACCATGGGCACCATTCTTCTATATACTTACTTAACTTTTCCATATTTTTAGCACATATGGGAGTACATACTAAGCCAAGGAAGAAAAGGCATGGGACATAGCTTTTGCTCAAACCTCCACATTCATTCATGTATTCCTTCATTCATTCATATCCTCCTTTATTTCTATATAATACTTATGAATACTCCCTAGTAGCAGAGGATAAAAAGTATCTTGGTCTTCTTCTTGTTCTATTTGATAAGGTAGGAGCTCTTTTAACCAACCTTCAAAATTCACTGGATTAACATATGTTCTCTATTTCCTCTTAAATATAATGATGCATACAGCACTGTTTATATAAATATAACATATATGTGTATATATATATATGTACTTAAGTTTGAAGCTGTTAGACTCTTTCAAAAAAAATTTTTTTTTTTTTTTTTTTTTTGACAGAGACAGCAAGAGAGGAACACAAGCAGGGGGAGTGGGAGACGGAGAAGCAGGCTTCCTGCTGAGCAGGGAGCCCGATGCAGGGCTCCATCCCAGGACTCTGGGATCATGACTTGAGCTGAAGACAGACGCTTAACTACTGAGCCACCCAGGTGCCCCAGTGAGGCTGTTAGACTCTTGTATAATTGTAAAGTAAGCCTTTTACAGTTCAATTGACTTTCTTCCCAAACTTGTTTGTGCCAGTTTGTAGCAGCAGTTGTCACTGAATTATGTAATTTAATTAAATATTACATAAATTAATGATATATGGTATATATGATATATAATATACAAAAGAGGTTTTTTTTCTATAAAAATTCGGTTAAACATTTGGAAAAACTCAATAAAAATTTTTTGCCAAAGAAACAGTCAAATTAGGTGTGGGTGAAGTAGTTGTAAAAAATTATAAAAATATAATAAAAATCTAGGAGGATTCTATACTTAGATACTTTGCAAATGTCCTTAAATTTGTTTCCACTCTAAAGACCAAAACTGGAAATCACATATGTGCTTTTGGGTGTGATTTATGTAAGAAAGACCAGATAGAAATTGAAATAGTAGATACTTATTAAAAAAAAAAAACATTAGCTTTCCATCAAATTATTGATAAATGTTCATTTAAATTAAACTTATCTTAACTTTAAAAATATAATTTTCCATGTTTCCAATTAAATGGCCAATTACTAGTCTCAAAAGTATCAAATAAGAGACCTTCTACTGTACTTCCATCAGTGCTTCATTTCTTAATAGAAATATATGTATATTCCTGTACACTGGCTAGCTCCCTAGTGAGAAAAGCTAATCTAAGTGATTAGCTAGAGAGGTTAAATAATTTGCTTCTAATTTTCCCTGTTTGTAACACAGGTTGGAGAAAAGTTTGAGGAGATGATCTAGAAACTATAGGTCTACTTAGAACATTAATGTTTATATAAGAAAGAATCATCTAATCATAGGACTGGAAAACGCTTGCAGGGTATCTGTGAGACACACCAAAAATACCATGCCATATATTAATAGATGCAGATTTCTTTCAGTTAAAAAATAATTCTTTCAGCCTTCTCATGGGAACCATCCTTTAATCTCTTTGATAACTTGTTTAATCCATCTCTAAAATTTCCATTACAATGATGGTAGAAACTTAGAATTTGATGCTGAAAGTCCATGAAATTGAAATCTTAAGGGTCTTTCAAGCCTGTGACTCTTACCTGCTCACCAGCTTGGGATTCCCCAATGATGAAACGATCTCCTGGGCCATCAGCAGCTGTGAGGCGAAAAGAACCAAGAACAAACATCAAAATGGACATATGGTACGGAATAAGGATCTAGTGTTGGAATTCTAAAATTTGACTCAAATGATCAGATAAAGTTTCAGGAAATGGAATACTTTTCTGAGCTCCTCAACCAGACAATGGTGTTGTAACAGCTGGTTTGATCTTTGTATCCACCATTCAGAAGTACCAGTAGAAGCGATTTAATCATGCTCTTTCTTGGTGTTACTGGAGATGGTCTTCCTGTTGCTCCACAATTTGATACTTGTACTTTTAATTCTTTTAAGGATTTTTTTATTTAAATAAGAGAGAAAGAGAGAGAGAGAGAGGGAGAGCAAGCATGTACGAATGCAGGGAGAGGCAGAGGATGAGAATTTTCAAGCAGACTCCCTGCTGAATGGGGAGATTGATCCCATGACCCATGAGATCATGATACATGAGATCACGATCTAAGCTGAAATCAAGGGTCAGAAGCTCAAATGACTGAGCCACCCAGGGGCCCCATATACTTGTACTTTTTAAATAGAACTATTTCTTCTAGCCCATCCTCCTAAATAAACACTATCTTTTCTATGGGCATATATGTGTGATGTATGTGTACACTCTCATGGATATACCTATATAGATTAATATTACTATTTATATTAATATTTCTCCATTTTCTATAAATTTCAAACTATTATCTTATTTATCACCCAATCTGATTTTCATAATAACCCAGTAAAGTAGAAAGAAAATATCTTTTTTTTTCATTTGACATTTGAAGGAAATGAAATCACAGAATGAAGGAACTTAGGTTGACAAGTTCTGATTAGTGGTAGACCTAGGACTAAAATACAGTCCCTTAATTCCCAATACAGTATTTTTTTTAAAATAATGGGCCAAAGTGTTATTTCTAAATCATAATATATAGGAACTCTGCCTTACAATTTCCATTGACTATTTATTTTTAAATGAGAAGAAACAGAATTGAGATGGAAAAACTTAACCAATATACAGTATAGCAATAGCTGCACCAAAAAACATTCCTGGAGAGAAATATATTCAAAAGGGTTTTCTTCATCTATGATGTAGATTTCAGATCCATACTACTGGCAAGGCAGTGCCTATTTAATGAGTTTTATGATCATGACCATTATTTCCATGTCATCTGTCTATGGCAAGGATTTGTGGACACATATACAGAAAAGTTAACAACTTTCTATATGAATATTTTAATTATATTTGCAACCATACTTCAAATAGTAAAAAGTATTTCTTTTAAAAAGGACATATGAAATTTATTTTTAATTTTTATTTATTTTAAAATTTATTTTGTTGAGAGAGTGAGTGAGCGAGCCAGCATGTGCATATGCATGGTTATCAGCAGAGGGAGGAGGTAGGTGGCAAGGAGCAGAGGGAGCAGAACAAGCAGACTTTGTACTGAGCTCCAAGACCAAGGCCGGGTTCAAGCCTTGGATCCTGAGATCATGACCTAAGCCAAAATCAAGAGTTGGATGCTCAACTGACTGAGCAGCCCAGGCTCCCCAAAATTCATTTTTTAAAAATGTGACCACAAAGTGGTGTTTTTTTAAAGGCTTATATATAATATTGTTTATAATGAGCCACTTTTTTTGCACAGACGGCTTTGGTTAACCTGATGTAGAAAAGAAAAAAATTTAACACTAAGTCTCTTCTATGTACTAGATGTTGTATCTTGTGCTTTATAGACATCATTTTAGTTATAAACTCTTAGCTTTCTTGTGTTTTTTGGAATCCTATTATATTTTCAGTGCTCACTTGAAAAACAAGAATAGTTTTCCTCCAATGTTATTCTTATTAGGCTGTTTTTGTGTTTTTAAAACATAAATTTTTTTTTTTAAAAGAGCAATTTAAAATAGACATAAAACGGACAGAATCATTGCTTCCACAATTATCAACATTTTATCTATCTTATTTCATCTATCCTTCTATTTATTTTTATAGTATCTTAAGTGAATTTTGATGTTCTTATTGTAGAAAATTAAAAAGTCAATTATCTTTCAGAATTCAAACACTAACTATATCTTGTGAATAAAGTAATTTTAAATTATTTTCTCTACGAGAGATATTACCAGCCAGCCACCTCTCATAGGCAACTTAGAGATTTCTCCTTTACTTCTTGCATGAGAGGAAATTAGCAGGGTTTTAAAGTAAAACAGAGCTGAATCTGAATCCTGGTTCTGCCTATTAGTAGCCTCAGAACCTTCAGCAAATTATTTTTTTTTCATTTTTTAAAAATTTAAATTCAATTTAGTTAACATACACTTATTATTCATTTCAGGGGTAGAATTTAGCGATTCATCAGTTGTATATAACACCCAATGCTCATTACCTCAAGTACCCTTCTTAATGCCCATTACCTAATTACCTCATCTGCCATCCACCTCTCCTCCAGCATCCCTTGGTTTGTTTCCTATAGTTTAGAGTCTCTTATGGTTTGCCTCCTTCTCTGTTTTCATCATATTTTATTTTCCTTTCCTTCTCCTATGTTCATCCCTTTTTTCTTAAAATCCACATATGAGTGAAATCATATGGTATTTGTCTTTTTCTGACTGATTTATTTCGCTGAGCATTATACTCTCTAGCTCCATCCATGTTCTTGAAAATGGCAAGATTTCATTGGTTTTGATAGCTGAGTAATATTCTACACCTTCTTTGTCCATTCATGGATGATGGACATCTGGGCTCTTTCTATATTCTGACTATTATGGACATTGCTGCTATAAGCATTAGGTTCACGTGCCCCTTTGAATCACTATTTTTCTATCCTTTGCATAAATACCTAGTAGTGCAATTGGCGGGTCATGGGGTAGCTCTATTTTTAACCTTTGAAGAACCTCCATACTGTTTTCCAGAGTGTTTGTACCAGCTTGCATTCCCATCAACAGTGTAAGAGGGTTCCTCCTTTCTCCACATCTTCGCCACCATCTGTTGTTTCCTGACTTGTTAATTTTAGTGATTCTGACTGGTGTAAAATGGTATCTCATTGTGCTTTTGACTTGTATTTCCCTGATGCCAAGTGATGTTGGGCATTTTTTTAATGTGTCTGTTGGCCATTTGGATGTTTTCTTTGGAGAAATGTCTGTTCATGTCTTCTGCCCATTTCTTGGTTGGATTTTTTTTTTGTTTTTTTTGGGTATTGAGTTTGGTAAGTTCTTTATAGATCTCGGATACTAGCCCTTTATCTGATATGTCATTTGCAACCATCTTCTCCCATTCCGTAGGTTGCTTTTTAGTTTTGTTGAGTGTTTCCTTTTCTTGCAAAAGCTTTTTATCCTGATGAAGTCCCAATAATTCATTTTTGCTTTTGTTTCCCTTGCCTCAGCAAATTATTAAGACTTTCTCTAAACTTCAGTTTTCTTGCTGATAAAAATTGGGATAATACTTTAAAAATAGTATCTTTTAGGGCGCCTGGGTGGCTCAGTTGGTTAAGCGACTGCCTTCAGCTCAGGTCATGATCCTGGAGTCCCGGGATCGAGTCCCGCATCAGGCTCCCAGCTCCACGGGGAGTCTGCTTCTCCCTCTGACCTTCTCCTCGCTCATGCTCTCTCTCACTGTCTCTCTCTCTCTCAAATAAATAAATAAAATAAAATAAAAAAATTAAAAAAAATAGTATCTTTTAAAGCTTTTTATTCCTCTCATTCATTCACTAAATTTCTATACAGTGTTCTAGGTCCTAGGTGTCATTCTAGGTGCCGAGACAGAGTGGAGTAAAACCAGCAGACATGGTTTCTGTTCTAATGTAGTGCCAACTTGCTGTGATGTTTTTCAAGCTCTGGAGCAAATATGGAGGTGGGTTTTAAAGTAAACTTGTAAACAGTTTTTGAAATAAGAATGAATAGAAATATATTTTATCACACATGGCAAGGATGAATATTGTTTCATGAAACTTATTTTTGTTTATACATGTGTGCATATGCACAATTTATATATTGTATATGTTACATATGTTATATGTGTGTATAGTGTATTTAATGTGTCTCTTGTGGGTGGGGTTAAAGCCACTGATGTGGTGGAAGAGATAGATATTAATCGAATAATTACATTAATGAATATATACATGCAAATAAAGAAAACCATTCTTTTGGAAGGAAATATAGTTTTATGAGAGCATACAGTGAAAGTGCCTGAAGTATACTGGAGGGTAAGGGAAAGCCATCTTGATAAAAGGATTTCTGGTTTGAATATGAAGGATGAATAAAAGGTAAGTAGGCAGAAGGGGTGTGTGAGTGTGTGAGAGAGAAAGAGGAGAGAGGGAGGGAGGGAGGGAGAGAGGAAGAAAGAGAAATATGAAATGGAAATGCTCCATCTAAAGGTCTTCACCTATGTGCAAAGGCCTCTGGTTCATATCCTCCTTATATCTTATGTCCCGGCCACTCTCAATTTCTAGAACTGTAGCTCTTTGAGAGTACCAAGATGACTCAGATTTCAGCTCCATAATATATGCTACTTCCATTGCTTGGAGTGTCCTTTTCTTATCTGTGCCTTCTGATTAAGGACTTCTTAGCTTTTAAGACTCAGCTCAAGTGTCACCTTTTCTTTGAAGTCTTATCTGACTCCTTTCCTCAAGAGTTAGCTACTTGCTCTTTTGCTTCCCTGGTGTATTTCCTAAGTAACTCTAATTATGGTTTTCTAATTATTTGCAATTATTTGCTTATTTGTCCCAGAAGAATCCATAGCACTTGCTGCACAACAGGTACTCAATAAAATTTCAGTATGTGAAGTATTAGAAATGTTCAATAAATGAATGAGTATGGTGTCTACAAATCTATTTAGAAGGATGCATGCATAAATGAATAATTTAATATTTTTTAACACAGAATACTGTATTTTGAATACCTCCCATTTCCTGCTGGTCTATGTATATAGTTTTCAAATGTGAGTCAGCATTGACCTTCTTTAGAATATTTAGAAAGACTGCTCTGGTTAATTTTATATAACTTGGATTATGTTGCTTTCTGTCTGCATGGTG